TGTCCCTGTAGATATTGCATGGTAAAAAGTACCAGAAACTCCTTGGGTTTTTACATTTTCTGCCTCAGTATTCATTTCAGCCACTGAAATGGTATGACAGCAGACAAGGAGCTTTACTGAAAAATTGTGGAGCCTGGAATCTTCACACTGGTTTTGGAAACTAGGCCTAATGTTAAGTGATATTTTTTAAGTCATGTCACATGTCAGGACAGGGAAATGGTATTGCAATATCCTCCAGACATCTTAGCTGATGTCCTTTTCTAATTTGATTAATTTGATGAGTAGAAAAAAGTCTCTGTGCTCTATAGATATGATGGTATTCAACTTACATTGTGTATTTTGAAATAAAGCACCACGGAATATTCCTCTGGCTGTATGTGTATCCTGAGGGCCGTATTTATGACACTGCTTCAGGTGTTTGTTAGAAGCTCTGCCTCTTCTTGCTGCAATGCATGGGAATCCAGTGAAGTGTTTGACCTAAAGTCTGTCTTCCATCTGGTCAGTATATAAAGTGACAGTGCAAACCCACTGAGGTCACACATCTTCACCATAATGTTACAAATGCCTCTGGTTAAGGTGCAGGGGATGGCAGTGAAGCAAAGTGTCAACAGCAGAAAATGTTACTGGACCTTTGTGGAAGGATAATTGTGCCAGGGCAGTGAACATACTATTCCAAAGGCAAGGGAACATGTCCAAATTAAGCCCACTTCTCCCAAAAGTAGTATTTTTTTGCCAAAGCAAGGACATTTATAATATTTCCATCTAATAAAAATAGCAAATAACTGATTTTATACCAAACGCTAAGAAAAGGAGAAGACTCTTGTCCTTTTGTCCTTTTGTCCTTTTTCTTCCTTCTCTCTTCTTCATTCTCCCTTGCTATATAAATATCAAGGAAAATCAGTGCTGTTAATTCTTTCTGGCTGTGGCAAAGATTCCTCCAAAATATTGGAGGAATCCACCCCAATGGACAGCAATAATGCAATAAGGATCTTTGAGTACTAGCAGAAAATTATCCACAGAGGAATAAATTTTTGCTTTTTTTTTTTTTTCCCACGAAAATTGATGTGACTGTTATATCTGACTGGTTTTCAGATTTTTCACCTTAAAGATTACTCAGCCATTGGACTTCTCTTGAGACTATGCCAATCCTTTGGGTTTTTTTGCTTTGTTTTGTTTTCTTTTTGAGAGTCAACTGTTCTTTTAAGCTTAGTAAATTCTCAACTTGCCAAGCTAAATGTTCCAGATAAGGAGCTACTTGTCCAAAGTAGTTCTGCTATGCTAATGAACCCTGACCTTTCAAGGTCAATGCAAGGGGCATTTCAGGTTGTGAAACAAGCCTTCAGCATGTGAGATGCTGCTGGAATGCCAGCCTTCTTCACCCTCCTTTCATGCCATGCCGCTGCCACCTGACAGTTACTCATGGGGCCTGCCTTAAAGGCTGTTTTATGGCTGTGACTTTGACTGCAAGACTCTTGGCACTCCTGCAGAGAGAGCAAGTGTGCTTGAAATCAAGTTTCGTACTTAAAAGCCTGTCTGTGCTGTTAAGGAGAGCACAGCTCTAACCTCTTGTTGCTCAAGCTATTTCTGTAGCCCCTGTGACACCAGTTAGTCCCTTTTGCTCTTGTGGAAGAGCCTGACTGTACCAGAAAATGCCCATCTAAATAATGTGTTTGAGATTGCTGCTCCATCTGCCACGACAGGAATTGTGCCCAGCCGTAGACTTTAAAGATGTTACTTGTTTTGTTTCATACCAAAGCAGATAGCAAACCTCACTCTGGTCTATAGACAGTCCATGCACTGACAGCTACTGTGTTTTACTTCTCTGAGCAGCTAGAGCTCAGCTTCCTGAGATCATCCTGCACATGGAACTACCCACTTCCTCTTCCCTCTTCCTTTTCCCTTTGTATATGCCATCCCAGGTAAAGCCTGGAAGCTGCTGAGGGTCTCCAGATGCTGGAGGAGCTGCAGCTTTGAAGTAGGCAGTAGAGTTGGCTCTGCCCTTCTGTTCTCAGTTTCCAGGTGGCATCTTTCTACTGATGCTGCCATGACAGGGAGAAGAAAGTACCCTGGAAATGTTAGAAGTCTGCTTCTTCCATGTGAGTTAGGAGATATTTAAAGGTATGTCTTCCTCCTAGGGCAGGGAGAGAGGCTGTGTGGGGAAGGCATAACATTTAGGTTCTGGTCAGGGAGTTGTTTTGCTTTCTGAGCTACTCTGAGACTTTTGACTTCACGCAATAAACTCAACTCCAGTGCTAGGGTAAGGAAGAGACTCACCCATGATGCTGCTTTCCTTGTGTGGTGGGGTGGGAATCACAGGCTTTCCTTCCCCCTTCCAGGTCCTGGCAACTGCTACTACTGGCCATGGTGAACATGCAGGACAGTTAGGTCAAAGTAGGTGAAGTATATTCCTGGCTGAAGAGAGCTTTCAAATTTCCAAGTCAGGTTTCACATAAACCAGTTTTTAATGTGATGCTTTCCACACTGCCGTCTCCCCATCCTGCATATCCTCTGTCTAAACAATATTATAGAATATATTTTTTTCTGCTATTGTATGGATTAGAATGTTGTACCAACTTCCTACTCAGAAGAGAGGAACTTCTTGCCAGTGTTGAAGAGGCAACAACAGTGTTGTCTCTCTGCCTTGCCTATGGAAGCTGTCAGCAAGAATTTAATCAAGGCCTGATCCAATCAAGAAACTCTGTTGTGCCTTTTGAGTAACAGTGGCCTGTTCTCAGAGGCAAAAAAAATATGGGGGAAGAGTAAATACTAAAGGCTAAATGGGATGGCTTGCTTGTCACTCAAATTGCACACAGGTATGGGTTTTTTCCCCTCTGTTTCCTGATTTCTCTTTCCACTTTGTTTAAAAGGCCAGAAATTGAGGGGTTTATAGCGAGCCTTTTGTGAACATTGTGATCATTTGTGAACATTGTCCTATTCTCAAGATTAAAACAGCACAGCTCCCTGAGAGAGGGACTCACACTGATAACATTTCTTGCCCTGTTTTGATGCATAGGCTGACCTCACGCACATCCACAGATTGAAGTGCTGATTTTGCAAGAGGTTGTTCTGCATGGCTGTGGGTCACAGCATGTGATCAGGCTGACTCCTGTTATGTGCCTCTGCTCCCAACTCTCAGTGGATTTTCCAGTATTCTGCATAATTTTGCTTTCCTGCGTTCAGTAACTGTGCTTCATTTCCTTAATGAGACTAACCAGCAAAACTGGAGAGATTTTAGCTGTGGGATATCAAACTCATATGGCACACGAGCAACAAACTTCCCATCCCTGTTTGTCTTTGACTCAAAGATTTTATTTGTAACTGAGTACACTTGTACTTTGTACTGTAACATCATACTGTAAACCCTTCATAACCCGAGAATGTCAGCCTGAGCTCATGGGTATTTGCTGTCTCTCAAAAGAGTGAGATATGCTACAGCTGTCCAGATTTGGCTCTGGGTATAATGTAAAATAACAAACTTGTGAGGAGCTATTATGTCAGCCTAATGAGTTAGGTTCAATCAGCAATACAGCAGACATACATACACTTTGCTAACAGGCATGAATATAGTATTGTAAAATGACTGTGAAACTTCCTTTAATAAGTTTGCATAGAAAATTGTGGTTTGAATAATTTCTCCTTTGCAGAGTTGTTAGCTCCTTTATGCCTGTGTAATTTATTTACAAACACCTCTACTCTGTTAAAAAGTTATTTACATGCTTGACAGTATCTTTGCTATCCATACTCCTCATGTGTAAGAAGCCTGACAATTAATGCTAAGCTTAATTCCACATGTTTGCAGAAGGAAGCCCACAGAGAACTGTTAATTTCCCTTGGTACCTTATAAGCCAATATGTTTCTGCTATTTTATTTGCAAAATAAACACTGTACATTTACTTAATTATATTTGATGTCATAATTCCAGGTTTTTCCTTGGCCTACAGGGACTCAGGGCCCTCAAGGTAGCTTTCCTCATTATTAGACAACAGTTGTATAGCTGTAGTTAGTAAATTATGATTGAAGACATGCATAACAAGGCAATGCACAGCAGTTTCTGTAATAAAGTGAAAAACACACCTTTACAGTGAAAAATGTAATTTTCCAAAGGGAAAGCATGAAGTGCAGTTCAAAATTCAAATGTTTATTTGCTATTTTGTCCTCTCTGAATGAATGAATAATAATGTCTGCATTCTAAAAGGAAAATAATGAGAAACAGCATTCACAATGAAGTGAGACAGAGATTGTTGCTGCTTTTAATATATTTTTAATTTCAGCTAATGTTTAAAACTACTTTAAGGGCAGAAGTGACTTTCAGCAGGGTCTAGTCACGCCAGTGACTATATTCTCATGGACCAAGCCTTCTTGGCAGATGGATATGTTGGTCTCTCTCCTCTTTGTTTCCATGCACTTTTCAAAAAACCTCCAAGAGTCATCCTTTATCCACAGCCCTCTACTCAACACATGGCATCCTAGCTGCCTGAAACAAAGAGCTGTCCCCATGGTTTTTCAATATATGATTTTCTTTTGATCCCACCTTGCATGATTGTTTGTCTTTGGTAGCAACAGTGTAAGTGAAAATTTGGAAGTCTAAAATATTTAAAGCACAAGTTCTTTAGCCAAAGTTCCTGTACAGCAAAATTTGCTCCTGCACTTTATATTGCATATCTTAAAATGTAGTGCTGGCTGAAAGAATCACATCATAATTCTGGTGACAGAATTGGAAGATATATTGTATGCAACCAGCTCTGTATTTGCTCAACATATTTAATTACATGGTAAAATTAATTTATCAAGTTTTCATATTTATGCTTTGACTATTCATCATCAGGTTTCTGTATGCATTTTTGGAAGGGTCATTTTTAGGTCTGGTCCAAGCACTGCTGAACTGCTCTGATTTGTTGGATATGTCACTGGATATGTAGTTGCAATGCTTTGCTGCTTTTTTTTTTCTTTTGCATTTTTATGCTCTGAAAGTAACATCTTTTTCTTTATCTTTTTTAAAGATAAAGACATTCCCTGCTGATACATCTAATCCTTTTTTCGATCCCTTTACAACAGTACCACAGTTTTCTGTAAGTAGAACATGCAAATAAAAAACTGTGTTTTAACACAATTCCAACTGATTTTTTTAAGTGTCAGAAATCTATGCACTAAGCACTCCTCAAAAAAAAAAAAAAAAAATTCCAAGTAGAAATTAAGAGTACAAAGCAGTTAAATATTCCCATTATACAAAATGTTGCCTGCATTCAGACTTTGCTGCTTACTAGACAGAGGACTAAAAGTTAAATGTCAAGGTTCACCTCTAATGAAGTCAGTCCCAAAATGTTGTTCATTTCAGGACTGTAGAAGACACTGGTGATGCTCCCTAACATCTTTACAGGGAGAAGTAAGGGAATGGGAAGATTTAGTCCTCTGTCCAGCAATTGCATGGCCTCCTGCCTGAAACCACCTGCTGTGCCATCAGAGAGGGCCCTGATTTTCATTGGATGTATGGCTGAACTTTAAAGAATTATAGTTAGTGTGTGAATGACTACAATGGTATCTTTGTACAACCTCTCATGCTTACCCAAGAACTTGAATCCAATATTGAACTTCATTCTTGTTAAATATTCACAGAAGAAGTGACTTAGGATTTTGGTGAGGTAAACTACATACAAGCAGAAAACAATTATCTGACAATTTAAAAAGTAACTATGTTCAAAATCTTGCTTTTGTGGCAGAGGCATTATATAATAAGTATGACCAAAAAAACATGACAAAATTAACTACTCTTTAATAAACACTCTGCTTATAAACACCATGTAAAATTATTTATAATTTTAAAGTTACATTTGCAAAATGAAGCATTTCAGACTTTGACCTTAAATTTTACTGGTTGCAGCAATCTATATCTGGCATATAATCCAAGATAAGTTACTTCATTTATTGTTGGGTCATGTGAAGGTTCTGGTTGTATTTAATGATTTAAAGAAAGAGGCTTTTCTTTCACAATGAACCTGATCATGGGCTTTTATGTAAATGTGTTTTTCCTACTCTCCAAATAGGTACCTTAAAGCCAGAGTTAGTTAGCCTTCCCAAGCTGTGTAAGTGCCACAGTTGAGCTCTAATTAAATGCATTTGAAAGTACACAGGAATGTCACATCAATGTTTCATTATGTCAGCCAAGTCCAGACTTAAAATTGTGATAAAACCTAACCCAAAGCTACAGTGCTTGTGTCTTTCACAGTACTCCTTTATCTAAGCAAAATGATGTGGCCCCCAAAATAGCTTTCCCACTAATTAGTATTGATTGTCAGGCATTATTTTTCTGTCTCTGACAGTTAGGATGAAAGCAAAATTTAGGACGGCTATATAACATAGATTTTCATAATTGGGGGGTCATAACTCTAAAATACAAACAGAAGGTATACCGATATACTTACCCACAGAAATTTCCATATTGCAGAAAATGGCTATTTCATGGCAAATTCAAATGCTGCATTTTTGTTATGTTCTGTCAGAAGAAAAGAAGCAAAGAAAAATTCAAACGAATCTTTCTGAAATCTCATCTTCTCCCCATAAATTTTCATTTCCCTGTGCAGGGTGGAGAGAAAAACTGAGATCACAAATATTTAAAATACCATTGCAATAAAAACCAAATTATGTATGATCCATCACGTGATTCTGTACATTCCTTTTAGTGAGTTATGTACACATATGTGTGGTGAACAAGCAGCTACCCATGGGACTGCACAGAGATGGGAAAACAATTAGGAGAGTTAAGTGGCTTTCGTCCTGTGTTTCATAGCTCTCTGTCCCAGCCCAAAGGGAGCTGTCTCTCCACAGGAGCATTTTAGATCATCCTGATGCGCTGCTGAGGGCTACACTACACGAAGGAGCTGTAAGGGAAGGGTAGCTAGGATTTGCAGGCAGATCTAACTCTGATTGGTCTCCAGTCACATGCAGACCCAGATGGTAATGTTTGGTAATTGTTTTTATTTGTTTCTTTTTTCCTGTCCTTGCTTCCCCTTACCCTCCACTTTTTTTTTTTTTTTTTTTTTTTTTTTTCCCTCCCCTCTTAGAAGAAAACATTGGAAAATTATTGAGCAGGAAAAGAATGATATATAGTGATGTGTAGAAGGCTTTACCTTTCATGTACACCTTCTAATTTGGTGGTGTATATGCAGTTGTGTTGATTTGATCAGATGAAAAATTAGATGACTTTGTTACTTGGAATGTTTAAATATATGCTTCAACCCAGGAACCCTCTGAATTTCAGAGATTTCCGTAGAAAAATGGTAGGCATGATGGCCATATTCTCAGACACATGTAAGTCACATAGATTTAAATTAATGAAATTATATCTGTTTAGCCCAATTAAATATTTAGCTTAAGTGTACTGTGCAATCAGACATATGTATAAAAAGATGCTTTGGATATCTACTGTAAAATAATCATCCAGAGTAAACACACTATGTAACACAAGGCAATTCTTCAGCAAGTGTAGTTTGTCATCACTCTGCTGTTTTCAGTGAGGCTGGGAGAATTTACATCAGCTTCAGAGTGATGTCTTCTTCTCGTGCCATAGAATGAGATCTGGCAGTCCTGGGAGCACAGGGATCCCATAAGAGTGATGCCAAATTTCATATCCCTGCAGTTTGTTATGTTGAGTATTAAAAGCTGAATTACAGAAAAATTGGAACAGGTCCTATTAGCCATTATTTACACACACAAGAGTTTCTTTAGTTGATTTCACATTTTTCCATTTTACTGATTTTGTGGAATTAATGGAATTCCTTTTGCTTCTGAGGTTATTTTGGATCATTAGAGATGTGTTAAAACATGTTTAAAAATGATGATAAGCAAGCAAATCTAACACAGACAGTCTTTCCTGGGCTCAAATAGTTTTCCCACTGTTTAAACTTAGTTTGTGAATCACTTGCAGAGGGTTGCAGAATTTGAGAAATAATTAGATCAAAAAAAGAGGTTGCTCTTGAAATAGCTGCTTTCTTATGATGGTGACTTTTCCTCCTCCCTACCTTAGACTTTGAACCAGGTTCAGAAGAAATAGTCACCAAGGAAGAAAGGTAGGTTACAGATACCAGTAGGAGCGTGTTTTAATGACCCTGACACACTGACAATTACAGTTGCTCTGTGTTCTTCCCAGGTTAGGGTCAGACATGCACCACAGGCACTAGCTGCTGTGGTTTGACATAAGAAATAGCCCACAACAAAAAGCAAGACAGGGCTGTTTGAGTTTTAGGGGTCCTCTCCCTCTGGTTGTAAAAATAACCCTGTCTTTGCTATAATATTGTTGTGCTGAAATACCTCACCTAAAGACAGGAGATGGTTGCTTGCTGTTTGTCTTAAATCTGCACTTCCAATATTGTTTTAATATTGCCTTTCACTGGATACTGAAAGAATATTTCTCTTGAGGCATGTTTCAGTTAGCAAAAGTGGGAAAGAGATGGAGATTTTGAAACCTGGACTCCTAAAAGCCCAGACTCCCAGCTGTTAACAAAACACAGAGTAGTTAGAGGACCCACCAGATAATTGTATAAGATTCCTGAAGAATATTCCAGAAATCTCATATTGTCAACATTCTGCATAATTTTTAGGGAAAATACAATAATGATAAGCATCATTCTCCAAACTGATCCCGTTTTTTACCTGAATGCTGCCAGTGCCATATGTGTCATCTCACTCAGGGCATGTTGCAATCAGGCTGGTCCCTCAGGCATCCAAAGAGGTGGTTGTGGAGCCTCTGCACAGAGGTTATAGCTACAGCCTCCCATTTGTTCTCACTCTTAGTTGTTGTTACTGTGTGCTTGGATAGTGAAGGATGGCGAGACCAGTAGAAGCTAATCTACAATTTTTCTTTCTGTGTGTGTGTATACATGTTTTTTTTTTTTTGTAGGCAGAATTTTCAGACAGCAAGTTACAATGCTGTGGGGTGCAGTCATCTCCTAAGATTACGCTGGTGTCTCCATCACCTGTCCTGAGGTCTCTGGCAGAGACTATACCGACTCCAACAGTCCAGACAGTATATACGTCGCATAAGCCAATTTCGCTGGCAGACAGGTACTGTGCAGTTCTTTCACAGAAATACTATGATGTTTTCTGCATTAAAGGAATCAGCCTGATTTCTCTTTTTCTGTCATACTTGCCATAAAGTGTCATGTTCTCTTACACTGAAAGATTTTTTCTTGACTACTTCAGAATAGGTGGGTTATGCAAAGAAATATCTGTAACTGATATTCTCATGCTCTGAGATAAAGAAAAGCCTACCTTAAATAACTGGTGCAGCCAGCAGTGTACCATTTCTGTGACCAGTGGCCTGGAGACAAAGGGTTGTGCAGATTTTCCTCAGGCAAGTAATTTTGTCTGAACCACAAAAGTTTTAATAACTGCTGTTACCATTTGTTTTTTGAAATTAGATGTCCATGGGGGAAACCTGAGTTTGAGAAATGTCTGTTCTTCTAAATGAAAAACAGGCATTGGTTTGGGTTTTTTTTCTATTTTAGTAATGTCAGACTACAGCGGTCTTGTAATTTCTCAGAGAAACAACAAGCTATACCACCTTTCCACAGACAGACTCTTTTCAGTTTTCTATTCTTTCATCCTATTGGTTTTGCATGCTGGCTTCTTATTCTATAATTTAATCAAAGCTGAACTTCCCAAGCTGATAATTTACTGAATCTAAATGTAGCAGTGGATATAGTCAGTACTTCTGGAGCACAAATAGTTCAAGGCTTATGAAGAAAAAATTATTTCTTTGACATCATAATGAATGAATCTTTTATGCTTTTGGATTCACAGTCGATTCCCATTTTTGGTTATTAATTATTTTTTGCAGCTGGCTAATTGCACCTGCACACTTATTCAACATTGCTTACTCATCTAAAAATTTATCATTCAAATGAAAAAGTAATTCTGAAGCTGTGGTGCTAAACTCAGCTTCTCTAAGATGTCTCATACACAGGTGGGTGATTCTAACCCTGCTTGTGCATGAATGGGCTGCAAGGTTTCTGCAATGCAGTTTAAATCTCCAAAATGTGTTACAAGTGTGAGATACATAACTTTCAGACTTTCAGAACAGCATAGTCAACAGTTTCAGAAATTGAATCACTAAACCAAGGCATTCTCAGGGTTACAAACCCTCTGGGCTCTGGAGTGAATTGGTGAGAGTAAGGACCTCAGCTCTGATTATCATCCTGATATGTGCAGGACTGTGCTAAACTCAGCATAGCTATATATCTATGTATATAGATATCCCTCAATATCAGATCACACCAAGGAGCAGAAGGCTTTAACAGTAGTCTGTCATAATGGCATTTGCTGTAGCTCCTCCATTTTTAGAGTCCTTGTCCAGCTTCCTTTAAAATCAGTAGCCTTTAATGGGGGTTAGATGAAATTATAAACTGTTTTGCCATGTGGATCTTTTAATATCCTTCTTCTTGCCTCTGTTTGTTCATCAGAAATATCAAGTGATACTTGTTTTTGAATCAGCCATCAGTTTTCAGCTTTTTCACTGAATTGTGTCTGACCTTTTTTTCCCCTCCTTTGGTATTTTGAAAATGTTAATTATTTTAAATTGAGATCTGAGACTTATTGTTGTTCCCATAATTGGCTGTTTGTGCATTAATTACACAGTGCTGAGACTCTGAGGCGTGAACTTGAGAGAGAGAAAATGATGAAAAGACTCTTGATGACAGAATTATGAAACTCGCACTTCCATCAGATGGAGAATGGATTGGGGCCTTTCATGTGCCTTCTGTCTGTTTACATTCCTCTGCTTCTGTGTACTCAACATAATGCATCGGGAAAATGTGTGATATTCCTGGCTCGCCTGGATTCACCGCGGTTGGTTAAAATTACGTCTTGGCTAGACTTTAACTTGAAGGAGTTCCTTTATTCATTTGCTGCTGGGAAATAAACCTTCAATCCTTTCTCTCTCCTGAGATTTTATACTATTAACACAATTAATTTCTGGTTTGGTTTTGGTAAATCTAGGGCAAAGAGGATCAGCAAGGAGCATACTGATTTCTATTGGGAAACACTGTTCTGTACATATGTTAATAAGTGCACAGAAATTAATGTTATGCAGAATATTTTGATAGTAACATAGAAAATATGTCATTTTGTACAACTGAAAATTGCAATGAGCTACTGCTATTTGTTAAGAGAACCATTTTTAAAGCAGAAGAATGATTATTACATCCTAACCCCAGGACTGTTAGTCTCCACAGAATAAATGGCTGTCTTATTAAATTCCTAACCTTAACCTTCCCTCAGAGATATAAGTAGCTGCAAGGGGGAGAGACACCCCACCACACAGATACACACACCCAATACTCCCTACAGCTTGTCACCTTGACCTAAACCTTCAACAAAATCTTACCGTATTTCCATTAATGGATGAAAAAAATCCGTTGTTTAAAGTAATTTGCTACTGACTTTCTAGCTTGATACTGACTTTTTTAAAGCAAGTGAGGAGCTTTACCTTCTCCAGTTTGCCTAGGCTTTAAGGCTAGCCCATGCTCAGACATCTTCTGCCCCAGCACTGAAGGTTGCAGAGCCTCAGGGGTGTGGATGTAGCTCACGTGAGGAGAATTTTTTCCTTTCTGGGTAAATAAGCCACCTTCCTGACTGACATGAATTAATTGGTCCCCTTCAGAAACAAGAACAATGATAGTTTAAGGCATAGCTGTGCCTATACCCATGTTTTTAACTCTACTAATCAGCACGTATGTCCCAGCAGACCTGTGCAGGGCTATACATCCCATTCACCTCCAACACTCAAGCAGCCTCTACATCCAGTGGAGCTATCTCAGGCACGAAGGGGGGTGGGTGGTCCAACACTAGCAGAGCCACAGCCACAGGGAGGGAATTAATGGTATACAGGTAACACTACCAACCATCTCCTAGGGGAAAAAAAAAGGTCTCTGTTTCCCCTTGTTCAGTAGTGCAGGGTCATCTAAAAAACTAACAATATCTGACTGTCAGCTACTCTTTCAACAGGAAAGCTTTTGTGCATTTTGTATGGCTGAAGATGTATATTTTTCTGTTACTCTGTACACTATGTTCTCTGATTTGTATTAAGATAAAATATTGCCCTTCATTTGGCACTGATTTTGATGGCTTTATCTCAGCTTAAGCAGTTTGTTTGTGTGGAGGCTGGGAAGTGATTGCTGTGAGATTGGGTTTCCTTCAGAGTTAGCTGCTGCTCTTTTTCTAAAATGAGAGTTCTGGAGAGCTTTGTAAGACTGTGTCTTGCAGTGTGAAGGTATAAAATGACTTGTCTACTTTATATATGCTGGGACAAAAAATTAGCATTAGGCTTCCCATTTAAATCCACCAAACACAACACTTTCTGGTTGCCATAAATTGGGTCAAAATACACAGCACAACTGTTAGGTAGAAAACCACATTACAAAATTTAATCAAGTGACTCAACATGAGCAGTGGGCACAAGGAGCCACATAATCACACCTGGACTGTAGATTTAAGGGCATTCCAGTGACTTTTCTGGGTAATCAGGTATGACTTGTATGCTGTCCACCTGCTAGATACAGTGCCAGGACACTTCTGTTCCTTTTGTTTTAATGCCCCACTCCATCAATCCAGGGTTCTTAAAAATTCATTAGGAACATTAAATCCCTGTGAGAAAATTGGAAAGGAGGGGAAAATGCACAGACAGAGAAGAATGCAATTTCCTATTATTCTTTTCTCACCACTTCCCAGAGAGTATTGGTGAGGGAGAAGCAGCAGCACATTTTGCCTATGTCCAAGTCACAGTGAGCATTTTAAAGAACAAATAAAAGAAAATTGTAACTAGAAATGCTGGTTTGGGAGAGGAAAACAAAGTAAGGTTGAGAATTGCACAGTGCTGACTAGCTCAATCTGGTTTTCTGCCTGTTAGGTAACACTCAGTTGTGTTTGAACTAGCAACAGTTTCACAAAGTCATTGTCAAAGAAAACCCAGAAAAAAAAACCCCAACCAAACAAACAGAAAAAATCTGAACACACCCTTCAGTCATACTGATTGCGATGGAGTGGACTTTAGGAACCCCACAATATGCCTTCAGGTTTGGGGGCAAAACAGATCCATGTTAGGACTGTCTGGTCACTTAAAGCAAAAGCCTTTAGCAAAACTCAATGCCTGAGTCAGACTAGCCTACAAGATGTTCTGGCTCATAAGCAGTCTATTAGTTTAATTTTTGTAATGCATCATTTTTGCTCCCATTGTATAAAATTTCTTCAGCTGAAACAGTCAGAACCAGAAAACAAGTAACATGAACCACGATTACTTTATACGGCCAAGTCTTTATAGCTGAGGCATGCTCTGGGATAGCTGAAGAAGGGCAGAGATTCCTCCTTCTTCGGTTCCCACCAGGAGAAGAGGGAAAGGCTCATGTGGCTGCTTAGTTTTTGTGGGACATTTTCTACAGAACAACTCCAAGTATGTTGCCTTGTCGTGTTTTAGTGTCTTATCCACTGGCTGCCACCGTTTCCTATTCTGCAGTATAATGGAGCTTTATTAAAACTGTTTTACTGAAATCAAACTAAACTTTTAACTGTGGAATGTCATCATCTTGTTTTTTCTTACTACGTACCTTCTTCAGCCATGCTTGAGCGTCTCAGTTTTCACATCCTCTGAAGAAACACTTCTGCCTCACCTCTGGTTGGGAATGACAGTGTTAGGACACCTGTTACCCAAAACTGCTGTGAACAAGACAATGTTAACATGAACATATTGCAGAGGGGCAGATATTACAGATTTGCTCCGACAATTTAACTTTACAGGTGTTAAAGGATACTCTGCCTGAAGGTATGTCTATAAATAGTGCAGAAGTATCTGAGCTAGCTTTAAGCTTGCATTTGTAGTTGTGGCAGCATGAAGCCCAGCACAGACTATCATTATCATGTACATTGACATGTGTAAAGATAATGCATTTGAACAGCAGCCTTCTGAAGCATGGTCTCCAGAACTGGTGACAGAAAAGGGTGGCTGAAAGGATTTTGTCTCTTCAGCTCTCCTGGGAAAGGGTTCATCTCATCTAACATAAAAATGCTCAGTTCTCACCTGGTGAGAGATCAAAGGAACTGTCTTCCGGAGGTGCCTCTGACTTAAGTGTCTACCTTCATACTGATTAAAGTTAAGTGAGATGAATCCTGCTTTCCGTCCCTCTGGTTAGGTCTACATTGCAAACCCTTGCTGACTCAGCTGCATCATCCAGGGTTCAGCTTTGAGGTACGGTTTGTGATCGGCGTAGCTGTGCCAGCGAAAACCTTCCGTGTTGGGTGTAAATAAACTGCCAGAAATATCCTTTTGTCAGAACAGCTTTTATCCCTTGTGGGAGAACAGAGAGCTGGGATAACAACTGGCAGTGACATAAGCGCAGAGGCTTTGCTATAGTCATGCTCCATCTGGGAGTAGCTGGTTGATGAAACCTCCTGCTATAGCCACGCTGGCAAAGCTATCAGGGATGGCCCCGGCTTTTTGCAGTGCCCCGAGTGATGCTCCGGCCCCGTCAGCAGATCCCAGCTTTTCAGCGTGAAGTCTCTAAGCAGCGGAATGCAATGTTGTCATGTTTGGGTGATTCCAGCAAAATTTATTGGCCATTTAAATAGCTATGCAAGGAATTAAATATTTTCTCATTTTGCGGTCTCATGGAAGCCAACCAATTGTGCTTTGTTTTTTGTGTGGCTCAGCTGTTTCCACTATTTTGTTTTAAAAGGAATAACTGAGTTTTCTTTAGAAATGTTGGTTGAGATTCCACACCTCTCTCAGATCCTATTGTGTGTGCAGACTTTTCATGTTTCACAGACCCTGGAAGTGCAAAATTTGAAAATTAACTCCTCCAAAGTTTCAGTTCATGGCTTCACTCTCTTGCAACAGGATGCCTACATGCCCATTTGAAACAGAGCTAGCAATGCAGTGAAATGTTTCATTGGAGGCAGCATCATGTTTTGTTTGAACTGTTTACAAATAGCCTTTGCTTTTATTTATTATTTTTCTGAATACACTTCTGGTTCATTTGCTACAAAAAACCTACTTGTAATTATGAAATGGAATATTTTTCTTTTTTTTTCTTTTTTTTTCTTTAATGTCCTGATGTTCAAGGAGTTTGCAATAAATATACTGAGACTGATCTGTAATTGCATGTAAGATTAGCCTCACAACTGTGTTTTGTAAAGTTAAGCGCCGTAAAAGAAGCTGTAGATGATGTGGAGAAGGAGGGAAGATAGAGAGTGAGTGGAGGAGAAGGCTTCTTGGGCAGCTGCAGCATTGAGTGGTGGGTAGCAGCTTTAAAGCATGACTGCTCACACCATTTTGTTTCACCTGAGTAGCAGCGTGTATCATCAGGCAGTGTATGATGGCATTTTGTTGAAAACATGCCTAAAGAGAAACTTTTACGGCTCCGCTGTTTACCTGTTCCTGTATTCATGCCTGCAATAAAAGAGATGAAAAATAAATCACAGAGTCTGAGCAATTTGTAGTCAAACCAGTCATTTAGGAGGCAAGGGGCGACATGCCAATTAAAGGAAACATCTGCTTGTTAGGAAAGTGGATCTACCATCATATAAAAAATTGCAATGCAAATCAAAAATGAAGAGATAATTTCTTCATAAAGCCCAGAGGGTTTTCTTCAGCTTAAAGTTGCAGTCTAGTGTTGTAGGGTGCCAATTGTCTGTGGGGTCATTAAGTGGGGCACACTTTGCTGAACACCAGAGCCAGAAAACATTGGCAGGATCAAGGTAGACAAACACAAAACTTGGCCAGCTTTTGGGCTTTCATCTAGGGCTCAAAAGGCAACAAAAAGTATTACTGGAGTGGAAGGGGTGGGGAAGAATGCTCCACACAGAGCTGAGAGACACCAGGTTGTTAAACTGCTCCATGGAGGAAAATTTACAAACATATTCACCAAAAAGACCCAAACTAAGCCTGTTTACTGTATTTGTTTTCCAAACACAATTTAAAAATTTCACTCCGATTTTTGCCCTTGATTTTGCCTTTCTTTCAATGTCTAAATGAAAAGTTGCTTCAGAATGAAACATTTCCCTTTCCTTCAAAGATCTCTAAATCAGAGATTTAGAGACATTTTGACATTAACTTTCCCAGTGCACTTAGGAAATTATATCCCAGCAATGTTCACCCCATTTTCTGAGGTTGCCAAAACTCTGGATTCAGATGGAATCTGATCCCAACCCAATTTCTCCATCTGGATCTTCTTCTATTTTAATTCTCTATGCAGGGAAATCAGAGGAGCAACAGCTCAGCGTTCTTCCAACTCTACTCAATTTATACCAAGAAAATTGATTATCCAGACAGCAAACCTAGTTAATTAATTCTCCTTAATAAAGATCTCTGCTAAAGAGCAGTGTTCTGAGGTGCAGTGTAATGAGAAGCTGTGCACTAAAAGGTCGGCAAATACTCTTGTGGAATTCGGTTGCAATGGAGAGTGTGGGGACGTCAGATGTAAATCTGAACAATCTTTTGGGTCATTATCAGGTGAGAAAATACTCTTGTGGAATTCGGCTGCAATGGAGAAGTGTGGGGACGTCAGATGTAAATCTGAACAATCTTTTGGGTCATTATCAGGTGACTGATCTATGATACTGAGTTTGAAGTCACTGAGATTGATTCTATATCTCTGGGGACATGCTTTCTCAAGCAGAAAACAGACTTTTCATGCAGGCACTGTTAAGTTGGGGCAGGGGGACAATAAGGCAATGGTTTCAGCCTGTCTGTGGTGCAAAAATTCTGTGGCAGCAAGGGGGTAGGAAGGCACCCATCAGGGTGCAGACACAGGCAAGGGGAGGGAACCCCAAGGCTCATGAAAGACAATGGCCCTGCCTTTGCCAAGCACAATGAAAACTTTGGGTCTGGTCAGCACTGGGATCCCCATGCCCAAATGCAGCTTGACCTGAAGGGCAACCCTGCAGCAAACCCTGAGTCACGTTTGGTTGTGACCAGATGTGCGGGAGGATACACCAGGGAATGAGGAAAATAAAAGACCCATAAAAGACCAAAAATGCCCTTTCCCAGCCATCCCAGGACAGGTTCATGGGAGCATCCCAACTTCTAGTGTCAGATGAGGAGAGTAGGCTTGCCCTTTTTGTGAGAAGCTGGAAATAGGAGCAGTTTAGCTGTGGCATCAGATGAGTTTGACAATCCTGACCATTACAACTACATCTTATGTGCTGCCAGTAGCACATGTGGCCTGTGAGGTGTCTCTTCACCAGTCTTTAGGGTCTGTGATGGTCAGGAGAATAAGGGAAAACAACAACAAGAAGAAACAACAGCAAGACCAGCAACACCCCATCCTGTCACCTGCTGGGCAGCCTGATGGCAAAGTATGGCCTGAAACATTATTTGCCTTTTTAGTTTATTTTAAAATTACAAATACAAAATTGTCTCATTACATAAGCAATATGCAATTGATACTAATTATGTTCTTTTTAATGAGTATTTCTACAGTGTGTGTGTTTGCTATATAATGCCAGTGAGTGCTCAGCTGTGTCATCAGAGTGGCATAAAAGCCACATGGATCTTTATTGTTTCATGCAGTGATTATTCAGTTCTTCAAGCAGGGAGCAAGTTAACCCTTCTTCATTGTTCTTCCTCTGCCTTTTATTAGCAAACTCTTCTGGAAATCCAAGAAAACCACAGCAAAAATTATTTACGTAAAAGATATTTGGTCAGTCAGCTTAGCATTCCAGGTACTCCATGATGTGAAGAACTCAAATATCTTATTTTTTTAATTATTTGCCTTGCTGCTCTCAAAAACAATAAAAAACCCCCATTATTTCTGTGCTAATTGTCTCATGCTCTGCTCTGGCTGCTGGCCCCCTTCCAGCATTGCCAGGCTTGACAAGGGCATAAGGTGGTGTGGCATGAGACAACAAAGACTGGGTGGGGTTTTTTTGGAGGGAGGAGTGCTAATAGCACCCAGCACTTCTGTCCTTCTTGGAGTGCATTTCTTGCTGTGGCTGACTCAACCTCTTCATTCTCCAAGGTGGGATGTGCACTGCTTTGCTGGGAGCTGAGATATTTGCAGCTCCATGGCCACCCAGTGAGGGTTTGGGGCTGTTGAGGCTGAGAGCTGAGGTGCTTGTGTATGTAAGAGGCACCAATAAGAGCTGAGGCTCTGAGGTTTTGGAGGCTGCCTTGTGCCCATGCTGTGAGGCCACAAATAGATGCATGAGGCTCTGGGGAGAAAGGTCAGTGTGAGCCACCCCTCTACCTGAGTGTGCAAAATTAGGGATTTAGTGGTAGAAGCATCACTGTGAGACTGATTACTCCTCCCTCCTGCAAAGGCATTTCAAACTTGTGCCCTCCAAAGCTGACCAACCCCCACAGGACCGGTGTTTGCTCAAGGAGCAGAGCGAGGTGTGCAGCAGAGCTGCAGCGGGCGCCTTTGGCAGTGCACGAGCTCGCTCTGGGTGAGAACGGCAGTGCCCTTGTCACAGTGGCTCCCAGCTCCCTTGTGGCCAGGCCAGGATGACAGCCCCTGAGAAGCATCTCCGCCAAGGCTGCCGACGTATGAAGACAGGGATGGGAAGTGCTGGAGCTGACAGCTCTGCAGCCCAAGAGTGCTCCCCTTTTTCCACTTCCAGCTCAACATGCCAAGGCTCAGTGTGGGTTCCTGACAACTTGCCCTGGCTGTAGTGAGCCACTGGGAACAGAAGGTACCTCCTCTAATGACCTGCCTTGCAGCCCCTTAGTGCCTTTCTAGGCCACCCTGCCAATCCTCCTCCCTCCTCTGCTTGGTACTCACTCCCAGACTGCTTCATGGGTGCCTGCTTCCTTTACCCTTGTGAGCACCCCTTCCACAAAAGCACCTCTGGCTTTGTTGACTTTCCAGTTGAAAATCTTTTGCCTTTTTGAAGGCCAGTTCTTGCTTTCCCTGATGCTCAGAAGGTGTTCCTCCACCAGCACTTTTCCACCTTTCCTCTGTGTCTCACTCATCTCTCACCTCCCCTTCTGCTGTCCTGGGTCCAGTGTCTAATCGGCATTAAAGCACAACGAGTTTTTTGCCAACCAGGAAATCTCTGTGAGATGATCTCTCATTAGAGACCAGCTAGTGAGGGTCTGCCATCAGCCAGGGCTGCAGGAGCTCCCATCAAGTCCAGTAAATTCCTGTGGGTACACTGCTCAGCCTCAGTGACTCTCCTGCATACTCCATAGCACCAGAGAAGGACACAGAGAAGTGTTAAAGAGAGGATATTATCATTTGCCCTACCCTTGAAGTGAGTGATTTTGCTCTCATATTTTGGATTGTTAATCTTCATTTTATCAGCCAGGCCTTAGTAAATGGAGGCACCCCAAAGAAGTGTGACAAAAGTCACCTTCCTTCCATAGCTCACTCCTTCTCTTTCTCCTTCCCTTTTTCTCCTTCCCTCCTTTTCTTTCTCCTTCCCTTCCTCCCATGCTTCTTTCCTTCTTCTCTCCTTTCTTTCTTCTTGCTTCAGACAGGGTATTTTTGCAGCCTCCCTGTCCTCACAATAATCCTACATTGTAGCAGTGACCACCCTTTTATCCCTTCCTACCACTGAGGTCTTTGGCTATGCTGCTCCATATTGCTGTGCTAAACTTTGAAGCACTGGAAAGAAATGGGGGATGTGGCAGGAGAGGGAGGTGTCTCCTTTCTTCACTCTCATTCTACCCTTGTGGGATTCCTATCTCCCATCCTTCCCCAGCAAGACAATTCAGGTTCCCTCTCTGGAAAAACTGGATTAGTGCAGTGACTCGAATCCCTGCACTGCCAGTCCTGTGGCCCATCCTTGGTGCCTTGAAACATCTTTCCATGCAGGAGTGGTCCCCAGCAGCGCAGCTGTGCTGTGGCCTGCCCAGCCCAGCAGAGCCAGACACCGACCCCGCACTGCACCCAGCAGATCCCATCACAGACTGCAGGGGGCTGAGCAATGGGTTTGGCAGAGGAGAACGTGCCGTGGTGGGTCTCAGCAGCCTGCTCCTCAGCTCCTAGCTGTGTGCATTACCTACAAGTTCAATGGCAAAAGGGCCAGGCTCCACTTTCTAGGGACGCCCTTCTCCTGAACAAAATCTTTGCGCAGTGCTGCAGTGTCCAAGGGCCTCCTCTGCCAAGCTGGTGTCCAAGGGCCTCCTCTGCCAAGCTGGTGTCCAAGGGCCACCTCTGCCAAGCTGGTGTCCAAGGGCCTCCTCTGCCAAGCTGGTGTCCAAGGGCCTCCTCTGCCAATCCCAAACCATTGTTCCCACCAGCTCGCACAGCCCTGGCTGCACTGCAGTCTCTGCTTGAACAAAGCTCCTGCAGGAAAGCCTTTGCTTGCTTGAAAACTCTTCCAAAAACATTGTATCCAGACCCCAGGGAGGAGCTTTAGGACATGCAGGACTTGTTCCCTGCAGCTGTGGGTCAGCTCAGGGCAGCTTCTATCTCCATCAGTGACCCTTGGGCATCCCTGTTCTGG